TCTACTTCTAGGCTCTTTGTGAGGATAAAATTAGTTAATATATGTGAAGCACAAAGAAAACACAGAAAATATGATATGTGTTATGATAACTATATCACTATTGGATATAAGACTTTCTTTACTATGGCTTTTCATCAAGAATATAGTGTATGGGGTGCTGGGTGGCTCAGTCAATTAAGCATCCAACTTTAGCTCAGGTCATGATCTCACAGTTTGTGAGTTCAAGCCCCACGTCGGGCTCTGTGCTGAAAAGCTGTGAGCATGGAGCCTGCTTCAGATTCTGTGTCTCCCTCTCTCTCTCTGTCCCTCCCCCACTCACAGTATATCTCTGTCTCAAAAATAAATAAACATTTTAAAACTTTCTTTAAAAAAGAATATAGTGAAAAATTATAGATCCATCAGTTATATGTTGCTTATTTTCCACTTACCTATTTTAAGACAAAGTTTTAATTGCTTAAAAAAATGAGAACTTTCAAACCATGAAGATAAAGACTGCATAAATGCAAAATGTTTGATATTAGCAGCTGTCTACTCAAGACTTTCTTCTTTAAATTATAGAGAAGTTTTTCATTGGTCCCTCTTTTCAGTAAGGCAAAGTCATTGAGGTAAAAACCTATAGGTATTAGAATGATTTCAGTCATAAGTATTTGTGTAGGAGAAGGAGTGTGTTATGTGCCAAGTGTGCAGATAGGGAAGCAATGTAAAATGATTTGGCTTCTTGGTAAAGGTTAGGTTCTACATACTCTTTCTTTGTCCAGTACAATTAAGGGCCTTGTTGATTACCTGGAGAAACAAAGGTAAATATGAGGAAGTATCATTCTTGTTAACAAATTCTGTAACAGTGCAATGTGCAAAAGTCATATAGCTTATTTTTTAAGTCCATTAATCAAATTTGGGTTGCATACATCTACCTTGCTTTATTTCCAAATTGCAAACTTTCCTCCAGGATAACTACAGAAGATCTGGCCAGGATTCCAGCTCAGAGGGTAGAATTTGGGATTGAATTCTGAGAAGGAGAGGGTATGTCACCAACACATGTTTGCATAAACAGTTGTCAGAAGGATGAGAAGAGATACCTGAGAGTCTGGCTGAGGAAAACCAAACACCAACAGCAGGAAGAACAAAAAGAACCCATTAGAAATAAGAGTGCTTATTTCAAATTGTTTCGGATAATATTGGGGTGGCCTCAGGTTAACTCTATAGTAGGAAAATGTATAGTCAGGATATGTTGGCCAAAAATGTAAGACTAAAGTGGAAATGAACTTCTTTTTTTAAAAAAAAAATTTAAATGTTTTTCATTTATTTCTGAGAGAGAGAGAGACACTGTGAGCAGGGGAGGGTCAGAGAGAGAGTGAGACACAGAATCTGAAGCAGGCTACAGGCTCTGAGCTAGCTGTCAGCATAGAACCCGATGGAGGGCTCAAACCCACGAACCCTGAGATCATGACCTGAGCCAAAGTCAGATGCTTAACTGACTGAGCAACCCAGGCACCCTGGAAATGAACTTCTTAAGACCAAGGTTGCTCTTTCTCCATGTTTACCATTTCATTCTTCCTAAGAGGACCTCAAGAGAAACCAAAAACAAAGAGGCAAAGCATATGTGCCTGCATCTTGCACTAAGGAAAACATCAAGAGCGAGTTTTGAAAATTAGGGTCTTAGTCATCCATGATACCTTTGCCTCATTAACATGAATAATTGAAATTTGATTTTCCTCAACCAGTTTTATTTTTTCTAAATAGAAAAGATCATCTTATATCTCACCTACTTTCAGTAGTTGCTATTCTTTACTGTGTTTACTGCTCTCAGCATTCTGACAAGCTCCAGAGTAATGACCTATGCTGTGTATTGTTAAACGTTCAGTCAGACAGATAGATACAGATAGATGAGTATGTGTTGCACAAAGACAGTTTAGCATTATTCAATCAATGTTTGTTTGATCCGTGTAAAACGAGTATAAATGTAAGCTGCATCCCATCTGTTTTATCATCCATGTGAAGCCAACCTCATTTCTAAAACTTAATTTCTTATGGAATTGCCCCAGAATGACAGAGGATGATCAGTTGGGAAGAAATATTTTTCAGACTGGTGAGATAAAGGATAGTTTTGTTTAAGTCTGTTTCATACGTTGGGCTTCCTCATTTTGCAGTGGCCTTCATGGCTTGGTAATTACTAGCTGTTAATCATCAGTTAGGCTTTGAAATCACATAGACCTGGGTTTGAGGGTGAATGTATGAGTCTAGCTGTGTGAGCAAATTACTTAACCACCAAATAGCACAGTGCCTGCCACAAAGCAGCTCTCCAGTAAGATTTATTAAATTAATCTTTCTTTACTTCAATTTCCTTGTCTGGAAAATGGAGAAAATAACAATATCTACCTTATTTGTGAAAATTAAACAGGATACTGCATGACCTGGCAGCTATTATAATTATCCTATTACTTATAGATCTTCTTCTCATGGGTCATACTTTAAGTCTAAGCATATTAACATATGTGACATAAAACTAATGTTTCCATTACTGGTTTTTAAACTCTTCAATGTGTAGGTATCAAATCGAGAATTCAGAAGGCTGAGAATATGTGGCAAGAGTGGAAATGGACATGAGTTAACAGTGTCTGCATTGATAGATGCAATTTCATTAGTCTAATTAAATGCTTGCCACTTTACACATCTGTGAATGATCGTAGTCTGAGTAACAGGGCCATCAGAGGGAGTAATATCTTCCACCAAAGCACTGAACATCAGTGAGCTTAGCCGCTTCTTGGGATATTTTAGAGAATAATGTGTAAGAAGCTTATGTACTCAGTAATGCTTATCAGTGTAAAGTGGAATATCAGTGGTAGTTGTAATTTCAGGATCACATATTTTACTATTAAACCATATGATAATGAGTGTTAAAGTATTAATTTTAGTGCACTGTACCTTGCAGTTTCCATTGTCTGTTCTCTAACTGCCATGTTACAGGGAAGAATTACTCCATGATTTCTCTTTATGAACTCTTCTTAACAACATTTATCCATCAATTCAATTCATTTAAGAAAATTGGTTGAACCATTTATTGAGCCATCTTTGTAGATGCAAAGATGACCGAAGGTATATAGATAGGACTGTGGCTAAGGACTCTAGAATTTAAGCTGTAGGTTATTCAGAGTCAGTGGATGTTCTTAAGCAGGAACCTAACCTGTCCAGAGCTGAGCTTCTGGACATGAAAAGTAAATTGGAGTTAGAGGTTTGAAAAGAGAGTCCAAGCAGACATCAGCTACTGGAAGATTGAATTTAGGGAGTGACAGTGGGCTAGTGATTTGGGGCTGATTTAAGAAAAATTAAGGTATGGCTTGGTCACCAAATAAAGATGCTTTGTATAGAGAAGATTCAAGGTTGACTTGAAAGCTTCCACCCAGGCATCTGCATGTTTTAGCTTACCATATACTGGGAGATAAGTATATTCTGCAAGGGAGATGATGAACTTCCCTGGAAGAACAAGTTAGAAAGACCCCTGATTACATGACTCCTTAGACTCTGAAGCATAGATAATTATTTTGCTGAATGTTTTTCAATGATGGACGAGTTATATATAGATTAGCATTGTCTAAGAAATGAAAAGGGGTTTTATAATCCTAGGTAAAATAGGGGCTACAATATATACTGCTGAGAATTTTAGTATGTTTGGAGGCTATTCATTGGGATTAATAGGCTGACTCTTCACACTTGTGAGTTTTACCATCGCTGTTAAACACAAAATATACACATCTTTAATATTGTCACTCTTATTGGATATGTTTTACTTTCCAGTTCTACATATACACATAAAGGCATGAAAAATGCCCAGTATCAAAAATAACTGCTAAAAATTCTATTAACACAACATAGTATCTTTACTTTTCACAGAATTTTACCTGCATATAACCTTAATCATTATTTCTGAAAACTTGATTTTAATAATTTGAGATCATGTTTATGTAATTACTGAACTCATGTTTCCATCTACCTTGAAATGTCTTAGAAAAGTGTACATGTCCTACAATTTAAAAAAAGATGTTTTGATTTCCATACATTGCAGGAAATTAAAACGTCCCTCAGAGGTTTTTTTTTAAATAATCAGTTCCTGAGTTCAGTCTCAAAATAATGATACTGATTTAAGCATAAAAATCTATATATTACATTCTGTGTAATATGTATTTTAGATTATCAAATAATGGGTTGGATGAAGGCATCTAGAAAAGGCATTAAAAATCATTTAAAAATATGTTTAAGTTAAAGAATAAAAAGAAGCAAGCTTTGTAAACATAACACATAATAATAAATAGGAAACATGATAAATAGAAAAGCAATTAGATCCCATTTGCATTGGGTTATAAGTTAATATTTGAAAATAATCATTAGCTCTAACCACCTTCCCTTCTTTATTGTTATTCTTAACTGTTTGAATTGTACAAATTGCCTTGTGATACTGGTCATAGTGTGTTATGGAGAAACAGACAAAATTTTAAGTTGCCATCAAAATGGAAGCCTAGAAGTGAAGAAAGAACAAGGAAACCTGTGCCCAGTGAAGCTAGTCAATGACCAATAAATATAAAGGGTGAGGTTAGGTCCTGACAGGAAAGAGTAGCGAGAATAATCAAGTTAAAATAATGTTCAAAGAACCAGAAGGAATATTGAACCGGACAACTTATAAACTACAGCTGCAGAGAAGGAAATGGAAAGGTAAAACAATTTTTTAAGCCCTGCCTTTCCAATATTAACAGAACATCTACATTGATTTTTTTTTCATTTGAATCAATTGTTGATGACTATCACTGTTTTTTACTATGATTAATCGTTTCATGTTAAGCTGGGTATATTAGCGTTCAGCTTCATAAGTAGGGTCATCTTGATGAAGCGTGGCTTCAGACTTTTCTTTGTAAATCATGTGTGTTACTTGTGATAAATGCTTATAATCTGGTGTTATTCAATATTGATTTTTTCAATGTGTGTATGCGTGTGTGCTGTTTTTCTTTTAGTCAATCGACCCTGGCCAGCAGTTCACATGGGAACATTCAAACTTGGAAGTAAACAAACCAAAGAATAGATATGCAAATGTAATCGCATATGATCATTCCCGGGTTCTCCTATCAGCAATAGAAGGTAAGGAAATTCAGACATTATTTACATTTTTATTTTTCATGAATTTTTAAGTGTGTGCATGAATATATAGTTTTAGTTAGGGTTTTCGCTATCTATGGAAATAGCTAATTAATATTCAGGCACCTCCTGTTCTCACATTTTCTTACTCATACAAATATACTGTATATGGGCACACAATATACCCAACACCGTATAACACAGAAACATCTCTCATTACCTTCTTGCCTCTACTCTAGCTGAAAGACTTCATAAGGTAGTTGATGCTTGTAGAGGGGAAGCAAATTGGAGTTACCCATTTTACTGATGGTTGTTGATATAATAAACACATGATTGTCAGAACATGCTTATATTTTTAAATGGGTGAGGGGTTTATATAAATAAATCTGGATAGCTCCTAGGGAGAGTCGAAGGTTTAGGAGTTTGTCGTGTGGTGATTTATAAAAATTATTGGAAATGTCTGGTACAGCTAATTTGTGGACTGCTTGCTAATCTATCTCTCACAATTGTAGCTAGGAGTACATTCCAGAGGGAATAGTTGCTCCTAAAAGATGAGGAATACACCTCTAATATATCAAGCTTCTTGTAAGGATTCATAAGGAGAGTATTTTCCATTCATCCCTTTCCATTAATAAATCCTTTCACATGGCACATTAAAATCAAGTAGGAGTTCATGTACAACACTTAGCATTTATTTGTTAGCTTCTTTTTTGTTTTTGGTTTTGTTTTTTTTGGCTATGGTAATACATTAGATTGCTGTCCTTACAAAATAGTTTACAATGTCACTTAAATCCTTTCTTCTGTCATAATAGCTAACCTGGACCACCTGCACATACCACATTCATCCTTATTGGCATCGAGAAAAGCTCTGTGGCCTTTTCATACTTGAAGTTTCACCACTTACCCTCTTCCAGATGTTTTATTAAACATTAAATAATATCAGCTTCAGACCCAGTCCTTTTCAGAACCTTACATTTCAAATATTTCCATCTACAGTTGTTCAAGTATCTTTCACATTTTTCTGCTTTCCAAATCTGTGATGACTACCACTTACCTCCTAACTCTGACCAAGTCCTACATGTCTTGTTTGGTGCCCAAAATTAATTTGAAAGTGAAACGCTGCTTAAAAGCTTTCCCAGTAAGCACAAAGGGCAACCAATACATTTATTTCCAGTTTTTTGGGGGGGAACAAGAACTATCTTTCACCATTTGAGTAAGCCCATACCTGTAGCCCCCTTTCTTCAAAATGGTATTACATGGCATAGATATATTTTATAAAATTCTCATAATCAATTTTACTTTCAATGTTGGAAAATGTTATAATCCCTTGTTGAGGCTATTAAAGATCATAGGACTTTGAGAGTTAACATTTTTCCATAGTGAAAAAACTTGATCAGGTTTATCAAAATTTCACCAATGCTACTTCAAGCAAGATGGTGTCAGACAGGTAATTGCTTCAAGTCCTGTTTGAAAACTGTAATTGGTTTATGTGGATGATTATTTGCATATAGCATGCACATTTTATCTCTGTATTTCCCACTTTAAAATTAAAAAAAAAAAAGCAATTTCTTGTCTCAAGTTTCTTAAATCAACTCCACAGTTAAAGGGAAACTAACCCATGTCACAAATGGAGAAGAGAAATCTTTTTTCCATTAGCGGAACAGGTAAATTATAGAAATTAAATGAATGTAAATTGAGAACCTATTTGGCATGATCTTGGCCGGAAAACTTGTCAGTCTGCCTTTGCTGTATTGTAGCGTTGTTTCCACTCAGAATTAGGTCATTCAATACTACTGTGTCCCTGTACTTTTACCCACTTTATCATTATTTTCCTTAACCTTTATTTTCCACCATCGTAACAGTAAAGTATGTCGAAGGGCAAAGAATATTCCTCCTTGTACCTTTATTATGATAGATGGAAACTATGTACATTTCATTCCTATGCTATTTTTACAGTACAAAAGCCAAAGCACTTGAATCAGACTAAAACCTGCCTTTTTATAGCTCTATGCTCACAAATATACCCTAAATCTAGAGTTGACCTAGAAACCAAAAGTCTTTCAATTTTAAGTCTTATGCAAAAGGTTAGAAGCATTTAATTGAAGTTTATGGGCTATAGAAAGAGCTTTAATCTAGATTACAACCATGAACAGCATTTTATCTTAGAGTAAGCCCTAATCAGCAGATATTTAAGGGGGTAAGCGATCATCCTATATCTTAAGCACAGAAAGGGAAATGCTGGTGACTGGAACCACAGAATCACTCACCGAGGCTTCTTACATAAAAGGACCTTTGATGACATCCAGCCAGATTTTTCAAAGCACTTAAATGTTAAGAGATTTCAGGCACAATTTACAAAATTTAACATGCTTGTTTTAGGTTCCACTTGTGGTGATAACTTAAAAGACTGGTCGAAGGTTTTGTTTTGGACACTTTTGCTGCTGTTCCCCTAGTGGTGCTGGCCGCTCTTCATATTTACTTCTCAGAGTTGTCTGACAGACAATAAAGGAAATCTGGGAAATCACCACAGTGATTCGTAGTATCCTTATCTTTGTTTCTTAGAGCAGAACTTTTACACAACTTCCACCTAGCAGTGGCAGGGGAAATAAAGAATGGGGAATTGTGTGTCAGCACCAGCATGCTTATTGAATTCTTTGAAAATAGTGATATATCATGACATGTTTCCAAATTACAGCTATCTTATTTATGCTGGAGAAAATGTGGAGTAAATTCAAGAGAGTTCTAACTACAGAATCCTTAAAATTATTGAATTACAGAGCAAGCAGCGTGGAAACACAATTAAATTTTTGACTAGTTCACTTACTGTTGCCGTCCCCTTCACGTTTAAGCTGTTCTTAAGAGAACATAGTAATTCCTGAGGAAGAGAGGTGATAGGATTTATTTTCATAGTTTAAGATAAAAGTTGTCAAAGACTAAATGTAAACTAATACTTATATTTGCAATAAAATAATGTATAATAATATATTTGATCTTATAGGATCCAGAGTTGCTCATTACTTTTACTAACATAGGAAAAAAGAAATGGATAAACCAAAAGATAAGAGCAAGGAAATCTGGGTTTGGGTCACAGCTCTGTCACTTACTAGTTATGTAACCTGGTCTTCTCTGTGTATCAATTGTTTCGGCTGAAACTTCTTTTAATTAATTTTTTAAATTTGAATATATTTGACATATAATGTTACATTAGTTTCAAGTATACAACCTAAGTGTTAGGCAACTGATTCACCTTCTGCATAAATTAGGCTATGCAGACAACATGTGTAGCCTCCATCTGTCACCATACAATACTATTAAAATATCACTGACTGTATGCTCTATGTCGTGCCCTTTATTCCCGTGACTTATTCCTTCCATAACCAGAAGACTATATCTCCCACTCCCCTTCCTTCACCTATCTTGACCATCCCCCCACCCACCTCCCCTATGACAGTCACCAGTTTGTATTTATAGTCTGATTCTTTTTATTTGTTTACTAATTTGTCTTATTTTTTAAAAGCCACATGTGAGTGAAATTCCCTTCACTTCTGACTAGCATGAGTTAACTCTATGTACTTTTCTTATCAGTTGTATCATTTATACTACAGTTTGATGAAGCAACAGCATAAGTATCTTACTATATTCATATCCACACTTGGAGATGAGAAGAGTGAAGCTTTCAGTGTTGGCCCTAAGCCACACCACATAGAGCTCAAACTGGAAGTGAGCTCTTGTGATTCCCCGACCCATGCCTGCATAGGCCCATATCATTCACACTGCTTTCCTACTGATAGAGGATGTGTCTGTGACTAAGTCACTAGCTTGAATCTAAATGCCCAGACTTATCACTTTGCCTAAAAGTCCACTTTAACATTGGGCTGTAATCTGTGGATAATATAAGTAATACCTTTTAGTATTTCATGTCCTGTTTTATGACAGAACTAATCTGAGGCATTGACACAATATAGGGACTTGGTAGTGATCCCAATGATTAGGTCTACAGTTACAGAAGTAAGGTCAAGTGCATCTATCCCTAATTGATTCCAAAAGTGATCTACTTACCTCAAATCTTTGTATGTATCTTCAACTTCTTATAAAATCAGGAATATCAATTTGTGGCAGATTATTTATTGTAATGTCCTATAACTAGCAAAAATTCAATCTAATTATTTCAGTCCTAGATGAAAGTGTTTTTTTTTCCTAAAATGTAATCTCTTCACTGCTGCCAGTATTGTATTTATATTAGTAGGATCATAATTAACATCTCACTTTAAAAGCCATATTCAAATGGAGTTTTTTAATTGTTGGCCAGGACTAAATATAAAGCAAACTTTTTAAAAGTCTACTTTTTATGTCAACAGCAAAGGCAAGAAGTCAGAATACATATGAATCTCTTGGGATCTTGGGCACCATGTCATAGATTTTATATAATGTATAAAGTCATGGATAGATTTTATCAAAAGCTACTTGTTATCATCAATTTTATAGATTAAGAAACTGTTGAAGTTTTAAAAATCAAGTAACTTGTTTATAATTAGTAGCTCATTCATGGCAGAGCCAAAATTCTAACATGAATCTTTCAGACTCAAGACTGCTGTTCTCTCCAATTGCCCATTCATAACTAAACAGACTTTTGAAGTCATGAAGACTGTGCCTATATATGTCATACCTAATTCAAACATGATTCCTTTTTGGCTGTGAAGACTGTCTAGGAATTTTGATATATATATTTTCAAACATTTTTGCTGAAAATCTGTGAAGATTGTCTAGGAATTTTGAAATATATATTTTCAAATATTTTTGTTGGAAATCTGAGAACTAGAGGTCTTCAGTTGTGTCCTTAGACTCTAGTTGAAGTGAAGTTTTCCATAGAATAAATGATATATAAATGCTTTCAGGTGGAATTTTTTTGTTTGTTTAATATTATTTTTAAAATTCTATTAGAAAGAACACTGAATAAGAAAACAGAATGTTTAATATTATTTTTAAAGTTCTATTAGAACACT